GAGAGAGTACAATTCTCATCCCCTCGTTTTCGTTCATCCGCTCTGCAGATAAACACAGGTGGACTGCTGCATGGAGTGCAAACATCTGCAAAGCAAAGAAAATGACCAAATTAGCGTTTGTTCAACAGCTAAACAACAGCTTTACATTAGAGTACGGGCGTTTAAATTAAAGCGAATTCAACTGAATTCGTTGTTGTCAATCACTTACACGTTTACTACAATTAGTAACAGGCTAATCAAAATAATAAATATAATTATTGAAATCGTAATAGAATTGCCTTGATACAGACAGTTAAACACACTCGGAGTTGATACGTACCATCTTATCGTTTTGCGTGGCGTTACTTCAATGCTGGTGGATGTGCCGGCTTGAAGCGAGCTACGTTCATCCTGCTTGGACTCCAGGGTCCTTTTTTTTTTCGGGAAGAAGTCTGGTGGAAATCAATACACTGTTAGACATGTTTGCTCGCATTTCACAATAAATATCCAAACATTAAAAGTTTCCATTGTTTTCATTTCTAGTTGCAAGGCATTTACCTGTCATTTGTGGCGTGCTGTTTCTGGGGGTCTCTAGGATGAGGGACCTCTTCCGCCTGTTTCTGAGGACTGAAGAACGAGCTGGTCTTGAGTTGAGTGCACCAGAGAGGTTCTCCTGGTTAATTTCGTTGGCTCGACTGGGGACGTCCGCGGATTCTTGAACAAGCGGACCCCTGGAAACCCCATTTACCCCGCAGTCAACAGCGCTGGACGCGTCTCCTGTTGCATTAAGAGACGCCGCGGCGCGAACTCTTTGCACTTTATCCTTGTAGAAAAACGGCACAGTGTCCTCTGAAATCGCCTCCCACTCATAATCTCCAGGCAAAGGCGAGTTGGTTTCAAAGTTAAAATTCCACCGGCTCTGGTCTCGCTCGGAGATCTCCCGGAGTTTGCGTTTCATTTCACCGTGCAGCTCCTCGTGATCCACGGGTCCGAAAAGGTTACGGCAAACCTTTGTGCGCGCGAGAAGAGGAAAGGTCCTCCGTGCAACATGACGCTCCAGATTGCTTGATACGTCCACGTTTGCCATGATGCCTAAAAGTCAATGCCGTACGCCGACGTTTGTTTGGATCTTGTTGTCTCTAGTCTGTTTATATCTGTGCCGGTGGTTAAAGGCCAGTGTTTGTACGAGAAAAGGCCTCCGATTGGATAGACGGACACCACGCCCTGTGCAATAAACCCCCCACCAGTATCAGCAAAGGCACCTTCCCCCCTCATTTTGAAAACCGACCCATGCATGAACACCATGAAATAAGTGATTGTTTTGAAAAAGAAAAAAAGAAGAAGAAATGTTATAGGCCTAATATTATAAACGGAGTTATTCCTACCAAAGTGTTATTTATTTATTATTCAATTATTTCATTAATAAAGGTAAACAATAACCCTGTTTATTTCAAATAACAAACATAGCCTAATTATAATATTTATTTTAATTATAATAAGAATACACATTAACAATGTAATGAAAATTAATGCAACATATATGTTACATCATTCAAATTAGGCTATATTACTAGCTTGTGAAATTCATTATAAAAATATTTAAATATATTTATATTTAAATATTCAGGTTTAGTCTGCAGTATTTATATTCATAACAAAGTTTGTCTTCTTGTTCTTAGTGTGTGCTTGTGCTGGCTCAGTTTAAGCAGTATTTCATTCAGTGCAAATTATAGTTTTAGCAAATGCTCTGGAGCACCAACTGCATGGTAAATGCTCCATTTATTTCGAACAAATATTTAAAACTGTGTTTTCAAATGCCACACCTCAACCTTTTAGGTTTACATTTAGGCCTCTAGTATAAATTATGAAATAAGCAGTGAATGTAAGTATAAAACATAAATATAATATAGAAATCGAAATGAAACGTACAAATGTAAACGTTGAATCCAAATGAAGTCAAAACACTTCTCAAATGGACTCTATGCACGGTCACTTCCACGTTTTTCCTCGGGGGGCTTACTTACATCAGGTGCTGCCCCGGAAGCCATTGTTCCTTACATAGAGCTTTCAAAATGACAAGAGAAGATGATTTTTCAGTTTACAAGAGCTTCCCCGGATTTCTGTAAATTAATTTTATAGCACGGAGAAGGGCATTAAACGTTTCAAGTTACATCGACAACTTTAGAGTGAGTTTTGTGCTATTGTCTTCTAGCAAATCTATAATGCTTGATGACTTCTGCGCCGATTTGATCAGCTCTTAAAGGGTTAGTTCACCCAAAAATGAAAATTCTGTTATTAATTAATTACTCACCCTCATGTCGTTTCAAACCCGTAAGACCTTCGTTCATCTTCGGAACACAAGTTAAGATATTGATGGAATCTGAGAGCTGTCTGACCCTGCATACACAGCAACGCAACTGAAATGTTCTCAAGTCCAGAAACATAGCAAGGAGATCTGTAAAATAATCCATGTGACATCAGTGGTTCATCCACAATTTTATGAATCTACGAGAATACTTTCTGTGCTCAAAAGAAAAAAAAAACGACTTTATTCAACAATTTGTCTCCTCCGCATTACCCTGGTGCCATTTTGGAGAGTATAAGCTGGACTAAACAACAGTATGCTGTTCTGTGTCCGCTGCCTCACACGGATACACTGTTTCAGTTCAGATCCAGTTTTTCCAATTTAGTAATTTTGTTGCTAAATTTGGCAACTTTTCAGACTACCCTAGCAACTTTTTCTTCCAAAAGCACCTAGCAACAAATTTAGCTATTTTTAAAATTTACTTGGCAACATTTAGCAACTCTTGATAAGTGACTCAAAAGATAAAAAAGGCACACATTTTCCATCTAAATTACACAAAAAGAGGAAACCAAAGGTGCCTAGCAGTACACACATCACATGAATTAAGTTAGCTGCTATTTGCAATTGTTTAATTTAACAATAATAATAACTGAATAATTGTTCATTTATGATACACCTTGTTAGTAGCTTGTACTTGAGATTGTTGATCAGTTAGTGCACAGTAAGAAAAATATCTAGAAAAATGAAAAAGGTACTAGTAATTTTCCAGGAAATTATCCATTATCCATTTTCCATTGTAACCCGAAAACACAAAGTACAATGCGCAATTTAAAATGTAGGTAAAAAAAACCTGTGAATAATAATTACGGACAATTTTTACAGACTTT